AGCTGCAGTGCAGGTGACAAAGGGTGGGTGTGGTGAGGAAGTCTGAGTACCGAGGCTGGACCACACTTTGGAGAGACTCATGAGTGGTAGAAGAGAAGATGACATGGAATAGGCAGGGGCACCTGGATTTTTCTTCCGTGTCTTTGCTGCTATCTTGGCTCTGGCAGAAGACTGAGGACATCGACCTGTTTTTGAATTTTTAATGTTTAAGCACATAGTAGGTGCTCATCAAATGGTTATCACTGTTAGTATTATTCCGTGAGGGCATTCTTGGAGATGTTATAATCTTTAGGTGAAGTTTCAATGTTCTGAGGTATACCGGTCTGCAGACTCATCCCAGCCGTCTGTCCCGGCTGTCTGTCCTGGCTTGGAGGCAGCAGGGTGCGATCAGTGGAAAATACACCGGCTTTGGAGTCAGACCGAAACCTGTTACGTGCCAGATATCCTTGAGCTGAACTCCTCTGTCTCAGGGGCCTCAGCTGTTAGTGGAGATCAGGGTTGGTATGAGAAGTAAATGAGAAAATGCATGAAAAATGCTGGGACAGAGTAGACACTGGAGGAACAGGAATCCTCTGGTTGGGCACTGTAGGTTGCCTTTCAAACATCATGTCATTTTCCTCCTTCGTAACAGAAACCATGTTGGTCCAGGTGTCTCCCCTTCCCCGGTGAGGAAACCCCAGCCCAGAGAACTGGAGTGGTGTTTCTGAGGTCTCACAACCGAAGCACCTGAAGCAGCACAGGAACCGAGGTCTTCTGACTCCCAGCCCAGTGTTGTAATAGCTCTCCCTTTGGGAAGAATTAGCACGTTTATCCAATATGACAACTAGGTCTTAGAACTTCTTTTTAAAAAACATTTTATTTATTTATTTGAGAGGCAGAAAGAGAAAATCAAGAGAGAGTGGGCAGGCGATGGCAGAGGGAGAAGCAGACTCCCCCTGAGCAGAGAGCCTGACGTGGGGCTCAATCCTGGGACCCGAGTAGACCTGAGTTGAAGGCAGATGCTTAACCAACTGAGCCACCCAGGCACCCCAGTCTTAGAACTTCTAAAGCGCGGTCTCCTTCTCCCCATGAAAAAGAGACAGCTGCTACAAGGGCTTGTATGACCTAGTCTTGGAAGTGACATCCCATTTCTTGTGCTGTAATCTATAGGTTCCCCAGGCCAGCCTTGGCAGAGTGCAGAAGGGCGTGAATACTGGAGGTAGGGATCACCAGAGGTATTCGTGGAAGCTGGCTACCACGAGCATCTTGGCATTATTATGAAGACAGTTTTGGCTTTATAAATCTGCTGAAAGGGCCTAGGGACGCCAACAGGCCCACGGGACACCCTTGGAGATCCAGTGACCTTGATGATACAAGGTCATGTCAATCTATGTGATTTAGGCTACTATCTAGAAGACGATTCTTGCCTCTCCCTCTTTTTTACAGATTTGTCAGTTTCATTTTTTAAAAAAGGAATCTCCATGCCCAACACGGGGATTGAACTCATGACCCCTAGATCAAGAGTCGCATGCTCCACTGACTGAGCCAGGCAAGCACCCCTTTTGGTATCACTTTAAAAACCAGTAAGCCAGAGGGGCCAGAGACTCTTAATGTACCCAGTATTTTGCCTCTGCTGATGTCAGGGTGAGAGTGCTAGAGGAGCAGAGTACTCGTGCCCCAGGACAGACAGCATAAAACTAGCGTCACGTCGCATTCGGGTGGCTCATCACAGGCTCTTCCATCTATGGGTTCATCGTCAATTTTCTTGAGTATGTTCAATCTGAACCTCCCGCCTGGCTAATCCATGCCACACATGACTTGTGGTGGTAGTAACTCCTTTCATTTGTCTGAAGGGCCTCAGCCAAGTGTTCCCAAGACAGGTTTGATTGCAACATGCCAAGACCTGGCAAAAAAACTTGGGTACAACTCATGCAAACATTCTTCATGACTTTTGAAATGCTAATCCTTTTTCCTTCAGAGGAGTCCTAGTATTTTTAGCATGTGATACAGTTGTGCCATTCCCTCAGGGTCACATCAAACCCCTTGTCTGGGGGGTCATCTTGTGCTCTCCACCATGTTATTCTCAAGACTTTGGCCTAAAGAGTTTCAGCACACAGCCTGCATTCAGCTCACGGGCATTTGTACTGAGAGGGCAATGGTATGCCATTTTCCAAAGCTTGTCACAGTAACGCTCGGAGCCTTGCTTGCACAGGGGAACATTGAGTTATCGATCCAGATGCCTTCTTCCTTCTTAGAGCAGCACACCCTTCCCCTGGCCTCTTCCTCTCCCCCAGTCCACATGATGTCAGTGAGGCTATCACTCATACTACACCCATTTTGGCCAACGATTAGTCAAAGGAAGGACGACCAGCCAAGTTGGACCTGGCAGGGTCTGGAATTGTTTTCAGGGAAGCGCAATGGGAAGGCCTTTTTCCCTAGAAAAGGGAGTCAGAGACCTGTAAGAATGAGCCCAGAGCTGCCTACAGCTCATGTTTCCTACTGCAGCAGTCGGTAGGTGAAAATGGAGCCAAACAAGTCAACAGTGCCAAGAACAAGACAAATACGAGAGTTTGAGAATCTGGATTCACTCCTGAGGCTGGTTCCAACTCCCTTCTTTCCAGCGACTTGACCCAAGAATGGCCAGTGGTGTTAGGTTTCTACCAATTATCATTGACGGGAGCCTTCAGACAACTGACTCTTTCCGCCAAATTACATTGTGAGGGATCTACTCCCTGAAGGAGCATGTGTTAAAAGAAAATAAGACAGCTGGGAATGCAAGTAAAGATCTAGAAAGAGGGCTGACCAGCAAAAAGGCAGACGAACCAAGGAACAGCTTTCCATGGAAGCAGATGACTGGGTGGTGGGAAAACAGACACTCCCATGGGCTTGGCGGGAGATTAATCCGATGTGATACACTTTGGAAGGCAATTTGGCAGTATCTCAAGATTTGAAATGTTCTTGCTCTTTGAGCCAATAGTTGTATTCAATGCAGCATTGTTTATTGTGGGGGGAAAAGCTGGCAATGTTTGCATCAATAGGGGATTGGTTAAGTAAATTATGGAAACATGTCCAAGCTCTATTGTTAAAGGGGGGGAGTGTATAAGACTATGCAAAGCTTTTGTTTATAGACGTGTGTGTGTGTGTGTGTGTGTGTGTACTGTGCAAAGAAAGCGCAGAGGACCATACAAAGGGTAGTCAACTGTAGTAATCTCGGTGGGGAGGTGACTGTAATTACAGAAAATTCTCACCTGTTGTTTGTACGAGTCTAGAATAATTTGAGATTAATTGCTGTTCTATGTCTGCTGCTACAAGAAAAAGGACTGATAACACACACATCCCTTCCTTCCTTATTAGTATTGTGAGTTCTAAGATCTCTGGCCCCAGAGGTTCATTTACTTATCCATTTACTTGATCAAGTGACTGAGTGCCAACTATATTAGGCACTCTTCTTGGTGCTGGGCACATAAAAGCCAAATGGAATCAATAACCTCAAGGATTTTACAGGATTGTGAAACAAATGATCAGATGCTGATGAGTTATGAAGCACAGAGGAAGAAAAGGGGGAGAGGATGCTGGGTGGAAACAGTAGGGTCCTCTTATACATAAAGTGGTCAGAGAAAGCCTTGTTGAGAAGGCAACGTAAAGATGTAAAGAGAGGAAGAAAGCCATGAAGAAAGCTTCAGCAGCAAGGGTCTTCCAGGCACACAAGACAGATGGAAGATCCTGAACTTGAAGGGTGCTTGACGAGTCTGAGCCCATAAGGAAGAAGAAGAAATGAAGCCAGAGGTAAGGGAGGGGGTGGGACAATGTACCAATGGACCTGAGGCCATGGTACCTCTCAGTGATGTAAGAAGCCCTTAGAGGGTTTTGGATAGACTTTAAAATGATCATTCTGATTGCTCTTAAGACCAGAGTAGAGGCAGCAAGGGCAGAAGTAGGAAGGCAAGTTAGAAAGTGACTAAGTGACTACAAGGACCCAGAGAGAAAATGGCTTGGACTCTAGTGCCAATGGCTTGACAAAGTTGGGTTCTAAACATCCTCTGAAAGTACAGCTGATGGATTTGTTGGAAGGGATGAGTGGCCTGAAAGTAGTGCCTGTGACCCTAGGCTCAGTCCTGAGGCTGTTAGACCCCTGGAAGACAAAGCTTCTCCCCTGTTAGACGTCTAAGCCCAATAAGAGGGATGCCACAGAGTCACCCCCAAGAGGTGGCAGTACTGAGTTGACAGAGGTGGAGAAGGACAGAACAACGGGAAGGGGGAGGATTGGTTTTGTGCACAGCAGGCCCCGCCCCACAGAGATGGGAGCGGTCCTAGCCACGGGATGCCAGGGGAGGCTGGATGCCTATGCCGCCATCTTCACACACTTGGTTTGCGAGGGGACAGGCTGCATTTTCACCCACCGAAGCAAGAGAAGGCGCATAGTTGATTTAACTCTATTTAGAAAAACCAAAGGCCGTATCCTTTCCATACCCATGTCTTGCGGAGCAAATCAAGACCCGCTGCACACATTTTATAAGGTTTTACCTTTTTTTAAAAAAAAGATTATTTTATTTATTTATTTATTTATTTATTTATTTATTTAAATGACAGACAGAGATCACAAGTAGGCAGAGAGGCAGGCAGAGAGAGAGGGAGAGGAGGAAGCAGGCTCTCCGCTGAGCAGAGAGCCCGATGCGGGGCTTGATCCCAGGACTGAGATCATGACCTGAGCTGAGCCACCCAGGCACCCCCATAAGGTTTTACTTTTGCTCTTAAAGACACATTATTTTTGTAATCAGAATGGAAAGCACGGTGGGATGGTCAACAGCGGCCAATTCAGAGAAGGTGACAGAGTTAGCTTATTGAGAAAGGAGTAAGGTAAGAAGTGAGGTCTTCCAGGAGCAAAGCCACATGGTATGTGATTAAGAAGGGAAAAGGAGATGATGTGATGTCGAAGCCGTAAATGTAAGCCTCCCCTGAGAAACTTGGCAAAGGAAGGAAAGAAACAATGAATGGTAAGAACAAACATATGCCACGCAATTCTGAATAAAGTTTATTAAATAATACATACAGCAAATGTAGTATCTCAACACACCCATTTATCAAATTGATCCACGGCAATAAAGAAAAATAAATGAAGAGAACAATCTGTTTCGGCATAGTACATGCTCTCCGTGTGTGATTAAAATGGCAACACTTTAAATTAATTGGTTATGTATAATGTCAGTTATTTTTCTCTCAGAATATAATCTTCTCTGTAGTGACCTATTCTAGCAAAAGAACTTATACCTACTGTAGATAAATAGGACTGCAAAAAATAAATCAAAAACAAAATAAAAAAAAAACAAAAAAACCTATAACTGAGATAACAATGACCTTCTCTCCCAGAAAGAATGATTATTGGAAATTTTAACACTTTACAATGGCTATTTTTGTGCTAAAAATCTGCAGGTGAATTATTTGGAATTCCTTCATTTAAATAAAAATGCAAAAAACTTCATGACTTCCTTATTTTACCCCCCTTCAGTTCAAATTTTTAAAATTATTTTTCTATACAAAGTAGGTACATGGGCTATACAAAGTTAAATATACATATTTACAGTCCTACTTCTTATGCATATGATTTTTTTTTTCTTTTACTGATCCGAGAGAGACTGCAAAAGTAAGTGGTTGGGGCTTGCCTTTACCCAGAAGCATGGCGAATATATCAAAATGTGTTGCAAGGCATGGTGCCAGTTAGTTGCGCTTGCTATTAATAAACCTGTATAAATATCTCGCATAAAAATAGGTATTTTATATTACTAAATGTCTGAGGACAAAAGAGCAATTGGAAACCTTGGTTCCTTGTTTTGTCATACATAGGAAGCTGAAGTTTGATGCAAATTTTGACATGATTTTGTTAAAGACTGGCAAATCGGTGAGGCATACCTGGGTTTCTGGAGATCTACAAATGCGTGAGGCTGGCATCATACATGAATGTGGCTTTACAAATTGGTTTTATTTTCTAGCTGTATTTAAAGAGGTGTTCAAAATTACCTACTGAATCAAGAAGCACCCCTCAAAAAAAAAAAAAAACAAAAACAGAACTATTAGATTAAGATTATTATTAATGGTTTGCATCTATGACAGACCAGGAAACACGTTAGCCAATATAGGAGTTAACATTCCAAAAATGAGTGAAATGCTGTCGTGCAAAATGCACGTGCATATGCACTTGCACTATATTCCCTCAGAGAGAGTCAAAGAGCACCCCCGGGGGAAGTGGACCTTCCAGACTTCCAGGGAGTCTGATTGAAAGACTCAGAGAGGCTCCTTCTACCCAGGAAGCTCCTCCCCCACCACTGGCCCCCCTACCCCCACCATTAGTTCCATAGCCTCATCCCTTGGGGTTAAGGCTCTTCTCTGTCCTAGTTAAAAACAAATGTCTCCAGGAAGAAGTTAACACATTCCTCTTTTCAGTCATTTACACTCTAGTGTGAAGGAGTCAGCAGCATTTTCTTTCCTGAGACAAGGACTTGAAAGGAGGACAGGGAGAGAATGAGGCTGTCTGATGGGGGCTCAGGGGTGCAGAGCTGATGGGTGGCAGATAAGTGGCAGAGACAGAAGGCAGAGGCACTAAAGACAGACTCTGCCTCCTTGTAAGGACTCCAGACTCTGGGACAATGGTTGGGGGGCAATTCTGAGCTATATGCAGAGAGCCAGGATTCCCGTACACAGTCCACCTACCTAGAAATGCTCTTTTTATTTGTGACCTTGGATGTGTATTTGTGGGGGAGGATGAGAGTCTGAAGACTCTGGAAACAGTTCCAAGAATTTCTGGCCATAAACTACCCTCAGACAAAGGTTCTTCCAGCAGCCTAGTTGTTCAAGAGTGAGCTCATGGAGAGAGAAACACGACAATGCTTTCTAGAGTGTCTCCAGGGAAAGATAACCTCCTCCTCTCTCATACCCTTCTCAGCACATATCACAGTCTCTCTTGACCCAGTAGTTTTGTGTGTCTGCCTCTCCCGTCACCTCTGAGTTCCCGACAGGCGGGTGGGCCAGTCCCTATTTCTTCAAGGGACCTAACAGAGAGGCTGACCAACATCCTCAAGATGGATGGAGTTGTGACTGAGCACCTGGGGTGTCACAGGGGCCTCCTTTCTCCCACGTGACTCCACAGAGGACAGACCTCCCGGGAGCGGCAGAATCACTACCTCGCACATAGGGCCACAGCCTCTGTGCCTTCTGCTCTGAAAAGAAGCCTCACCAGGGTGGGGACCCTGGGTGACTACCTTGTGGGCGGTTCCTGAACCTGCTTCGGGGAGTACAAATGAGGACACAGTGAGTGTAGGGCGTGGGGCATGTCCTGCTCCTCGGTGGCGCCAGCGTCCAGCATACGATGGTGTCTGTTCAACAATTCACTGAACGCCATCCCTGGTTCTCTGAGAGAACAGGCCTAGCCACCTCAAAATGCCCTGACCAAAAACAATCCAGAAAAGAAAGGTTAGCACTGGCAATCTGGTAAATGAAATTGTGCCGAAGGTAACCATTTACAAAAGTCAGTGATATGGGAAAGGGTCACGTCGCAAGCGACCTTGACAGCTACAGAACTTCCTAACGTCATCACTTGGAAACACAACTTTAACTACCTGACCTGGGCACCCCACTTCCACCAGCAAACCTCATGTGCTTTTCTGTCTGAACACCAGGGACATTGGGGGCCACGGTGCGTGCAGGCTCAGTGCACAGGGCACCTTCACGCTCCCTCCATTGCCCCATGTTCCCCAGGAACGAGGCACATGGTCTTGGAGAGCCTCGTAGCCTCCACCACTGTCCAGGGGAGGCCTTGGCTGCCTAAGCAGATTTCCAGCAACGTTGGGAAACCGGTGGGCTCTGGGGTGGCTGGGGTACGGAGCCTTTGGAGAACGGCTGGGGATCTGCCTGGTGTCCCGAGGGCTGCTTCTGGCTAAATGGTCACGTCGAGCCAGAGCTGGTCAAGGCCAGGGCAGCAAGAGGCATTTCTGACCTCACTGATCCTGGACTGTGTTACAGGTCAGATTACCCAAGAAGGGGAGAGGCGGGGAAGGCTTGGAGTGGCTCCCAGAAGCAGCTAAGTAAATACAGACTTGCCTCATTCCTTTTTCCTCAGTCCGGCTTGCCTGATATGCTGTCAGCGTAGACAGACTCGGGCTTTAGACACAATACTTCTCTGTCCCTCTCTTTTGCTTCTTACTTTATCCACTACATTAGTTTTCCTACCAACTCAACGTTTAAATAAAGAGACCAGTTCATGAGTTATGCTTCATCCTCCAATAAAAAATAATCTCCGGTTTTCAATCTTCTTATAGATACAAAGGCTTTACATAGTTGCCTGGAAAAGTACCAAATTGCCTTGTCCTTCTTGAAGTACCTATAGAAAAACAAACAGAACATAAGCAAAATCAGAAAGCTCACCTATGAGTTCAGAGTGGGCCCTCTGTTGTTGTTGTTTTTTAAATTAATTTATTTGAGAGAGCGAGAGTGCACACACATGAGTGGGGGGAGGGGCAGAGGGAGAGAGAATTCCAAGCAGACTCCCCATCAAGCACGGAGCCCAACTTGGGGCTCAATCCCACAACCCTGAGACCATGACCTGAGGAAACCAAGAGTCTGACGCTTGACGGACTGAGCCACGCAGGCGACCCTGGAGAGAGCCCTTTGGTAAACTTGCAGCGTGAAGGACAGCATGTGGTTTCCAAAGCACTTTTCCCTGTCTTATCTCTTTTATGCTGCAAAATAATGCTGAGTCGTAAGCCATGAAGGCACTCTCGGGACTACCCCCAGCCCCCTTTCCAGACGAGGAATGGGAAGCCCAGAGAGCTTAAGTCCCACAGTTTAGCAAGCATCAGAAGCAGGCTTGGAACCCAGGACGCCTGACTCCCAGCCCACTGCTCTTTCCAATACTTCTCCTTTTTGGAAAAAGATGAACCCATTTATTCAACACAAGATACCAGGGATTTAGAATTTCTAAACTGTAGGATTTCTGAAAGTCCTCTGGATAAGGGCACACATCAAAAGGAAATTCCTCTCAGAAGCCCCTGCCTGAGCCCTGGACCGACTCCTGTTTCTGCTGCCCACCTCGCCAAGGCTCCCGCTGAGGCAGGAACACTGAGCTACGGGGGTAGGAGGCCTTCTTGCACTGTTCCACATCCCGAACTGCCGGATCCCTAACCTGGCTCCTTCCCTTGGGACTGACTCTCTAAAGCTGGGGCTGAGGGTGGTGGCAGATCCAGGCCATGTCCCTGGTCCGTACTCATTGGCCAACAGCACAATTGGGACAATTGCATCCTTTTCCCAGTTGGCGTGGATACAGCTCCATGACCCCAGGGACCACAGCTTTCCAAGCAACAGCTACCGGCAGGTTGGAGCTGTTGCCTGAAGCTAAAAGAAAGCATCAACGCTAAAGACATCTGAAAGAACTGGTTGACCCCTGAGGGAGGACCCCGGAGGAGGCTGCAGAGAACTGAGATGATAAGGGCCAGAGATGCGCTCCTATAGCTGATTCGTACCTTCCCTTAAGGACAGGAAAAACGAGCTCCGCTGGCTTACTTGATTCTCCTCTGAGCACTAGGCTCCATTCTGAAGCATTTGAGGGATTGAGGCATCCCCCTCACCCCACCTCATGTTCTCATAAAAAATGTAAATAGGGGGCACCTGGTGGCTCAGTGGGTTAAAGCCTCTGCCTTCAGCCCAGGTCATGATCCCAGGGTCCCAGGATTGAGCCCCGCATCGGGCTCTCTGCTCAGCGGGGAGCCTGCTTCCTCCTTTCGCTGCCTGTCTCTCTGCCTACTTGTGATCTCTGTCAAATAAATAAATAAAATCTTTAAAAAAAAATGTAAATAGTCCTGGAGGGGTTTAACAGTGAATCTACACCAGAGCTGCGCTCTCCTATGACTGGCACGGGCGGCAACCGGGCACTGGAAACGTGCCCAGTCTGAACAGCTACGCCCAATCTGCAAAATACACATCAGAATTCCAAGGCTGAGAAGACGGTTTACAATCTCCTTTTCTTTTCTTTTTTTTTTTTAAAGATTTTGTTTATTTATTTGACAGAGATCACAAGTAGGCAGAGAGGCAGAGAGAGAGAGGGAAGCAGGTTCCCTGCTGAACAGAGAGCCTGATGCGGGGCTCCATCCCAGGACCATGGGATCATGACCTGAGCTGAAGGCAGAGGCTTTAACCCACTGAGCCAGCCAGGCGCCCCACATTCTTCTTTTCATACTAACAATTTTTTATACCGATTCCATGTTCAAATGACAATATTTTGAATGCAATAGCGTTAATAAACTATATCCCTACAATGTTTCACGGGTTTCATATTACTTCTTTTAAGGTGGCTTCCAGAAAATTTTAAATTCCATTCACGGCTTGACGACACTCCATTGGAGTGTTGCGGACTTCGCAGACCTGACTTCCTTCTGATCGGAGTAGTTCGAGGATGCTGAGGGGCCACAGGTTTCTGGGGGCCTGGGGAGGATGGGGCAGCTTTCTAAAAGGCCGATAAGTCCCAGGCAAATCTTTCTGGCTTCCCATGTCTGCTGTGGCCTTGCCATTCTCACTACCCCAGCCCTGAGAGGACTACACGTTAAGAAGGATTTTCCAGAGAGATCAGGAAGGAGCTGGTCTTAGAAAGGAGATAAAGGTAAAGCCATTTGTACAAGGGAAAAACAGAGGCAAAAAGTGAATCAGTGGCTCCCAAGAGCATATTTGTGCCTGAGGAGAAAGAACAGAAGCTTGGGGACAGATACTCCTGAATCTGAGTATTGGACCCACGACTGGCTACCTGGGTGACCCGGGATACTTATGTCACCACTTTGGGCTTCAGTTTTTGAGTCTGTGAACTCAAGATAATTCTTGTGTCACGGGCTGTTTATCGAGAACTTCAATAACAAAGTATATTGAGCAAGTATCTGCTTTGTAGTAAAATCTCAAAAAATATTGATCTTTCTCCTGTTCTCTAATGGTGAATCTTTTGTTTTAATTAAGCATGTTGCTTTGATTAAAGTTATGGGAAGCCTGTAAATAAGTAAATAAAGTCTTTGGAATGTCTACACATACGCTTGAGTTTCACGGTTGAGACCTACGCTCAAATTCTCTTGTGTTGTTTCCTAAGAGTATAAAATAAATAAAATTTTCAAATGTAGAACAGATAAAATGCACAACAGAAATACAAACAGAACTCCAGTAATCTGACAACTGCCCTCCTGTGCAGCTGCACTGGCATGTTTAGATTTTGGGTCTGGTACCATTACTGTCACCCACACGGTCTTCAGAGCAAGCATAACGTGAGTGACCCAGTACGCCCGACAGCAGACCCCGATCCGAGAAGGTTCTGTTTTCTGTGCAGCGAGGACTGCCTTTTGCGTGGCTTGTTGCTCCTAGTTACTCCTTCGATACACAACTAGTAAGAAAAGCATGAGGAGATCACTTACCAACGAACCATCCATCATCGCATTTTTCCATGACATCAACAATATCTCCATCTCGGAGTTCCAATTCATCATCATTCTGGGGTATATAGCTATACAATGCTTGGTAGCTAAACCTAAAAATGAGAGACGTTAATTCAAACATTGACAGGATCAAATAATGAATTTTTAAAGCCCAATTCAGTTAAACCAACACATGGGTAGTGTTTCATACTCATCAGTGGGGATGGAAGTATTTTACTGGCTACTTCCCTGGCAGGGTAGACTTTGGGGAGATCCACTCAGCATAGAATAAGGAAATGAAGACTGCTAGGGATGGGGAGCCTCTGATGAGTAAGATTATGACAAGTCCTTTTATTTAGTTTCCTTTTAGTTACAGGAGCTAAACATTTTGTTTAGATCCTGCCACTTTATTATTTTTTTTAAAGATTTTATTTTTTTATTTGACAGAGATCACAAGCAGGCAGAAAGGCAGGTGGGGGTGGGGGCGGGAAGCAGGCTTCCTGCTGAGCAGAGAGCCTGATGGGATGCGGGGCTTGATCCCAGGACCCTGAGACCATGACCTGAGCTGAAGGCAGAGGCTTAACCCACTGATCCACTCAGGTGTCTCATAGATTACCCCTCTATTTTTTTAAAATATGATTTTATTTATTTACTTGACAGAGATCACAAATAGGCAGAGAGGCAGGTGGGGGGGTGGGCAGAGAGCCAGATGCAGGCTGGGATCATGACTTGAGCCGAAAGCAGAGGCTTTAACCCACTGAGCCACCCAGTCACCCCAGATGCCCCCTCTTTAAAGTTAACCAAAGTTTTTCTTTTTCTTAACATAGGAGAATGTATGTAGATTATCAGGGACAATCAGAAGTTAAAAAAAAAAAAAAAAAAAGAAGAAGAAGAAGTAACTTAGGACCAGAGATAGACACTATATTCTGGTCACACACATTGGAGAGCATAAAAAAATTTTTCTATATATATGCATATATATGTATATATATAGGTGTATTAATATAAAGATATAAAAAGTACATTCCAGTTGCTTACCTTGAGTTTCTTAATATGCTAATACATATTTCATTGTTTTTATATTTTAAAGTTTTTTTTTTAAAGATTTTATTTATTTGACAGAGATCACAAGCAGGCAGAGAGAGAGTGGAGGAAGCAGGCTCCCCGCTGAGCAGAGAGCCTGATGTGGGGCTCGATCCCAGGACCCCGAGATCATGACCTGAGCCGAAGGCAGAGGCTTTAACCCACTGAGCCACCCAGGTGCCCCTTTTTTAAAGTTTTTAAGATTTTTTTTTAAATATATTTGACAGAGAGAGGTAATGAGAGAGGGAACAAACACAAGCAGGGGGAGTGGGAGAGGGAGAAGCAGGCTTTCTGCTGAGCAGGAAGTCTGATGCAGGGCTGGATCCCAGGACCCTGGGATCATGCCAGACGCTTAACCGTCCAGGCCACCCAGGTGCCCCTAAAAGTTTTTATTTATTCATTTAAGTAATCTCTATACTCTTGACCCCAAGATCAAGAGCTGAACTCTCTTCTGACTGAGCCAGGCAGGTGCCCCTTGTTAATTGTTTTTAAATGTGATGTCCCTTTCCCAAAATTCTTGAAAGCTTTTTGCTTTCTTTCTATCCCAGTGATGTTTGGGAGTAAGATTTTTATTTACTTGTTAGTTGGCCTAAGGCAATCTGGTCTGTGCTGTTCCGTCTGTCCTGACAACAGCTCACTGGAGGATGCTGGCCCTACTTGTGATGAAATCTGACATGGAAAAGTTTGTTTTCACTTATTCACTTATTCAGCATCTTCACAATTCTGTGTATTACTATTCTGAAACACAACAGTAGCGGGCAAAACTCTGCAAATGAGCCAACCAGCTACCATTTCCAGTAGATGCCAGCGAATTCCAGTGAGTGAGCAAATGAAACTAGAAACGAGGAAGAGAAGCCAGTCCCCGGGAAGGAGAGGTTCATTTTCCTCTGCTAAAACTAAGGGACCATTTAATTTTATACATTTATCCAAGTGTATTGATAATCAGTAGATGCCTCTGTCTACCAGAAAGAAGTTCTGCAACGAGGCACGAAGAGTTGCAGGTAGCTTTCAGTTAGAAAGCGAATACATTTTTGATGTTTCCATACTTGCCTGCTGTGTCCATCCAACTTGGACTCCTCAGAATGCCTCATCTTCCCCTTCACTTCCACGACGGCTGCCTTGCTAACCTCAGCTCTGGGAGATGACTCTGGATACCTGCTTCTCTATCCTCACTCCCACATAGTGGAGACAGGTGGGTCCAAGGTCCCAGACAGGTGGGTCCAAGGTCCCAGAACCTCACTGCTTGGGTCCCCCAATCAGCTCTAATTTTGGATGGGCCTCATGCTGCTTAGGGTGCTGTTCCGTTGAGTCCTTTCCCCACATGGGCCTTCTCCAAGTTCCCCAAACACACCATCTACCCTGGGTCTTTGCATGTACGGTTTCCTCATCTGGGAAGACCTTTTACCTCCCTGTTCCAGCTCTCAAATCCAGTTTGTCTTCTTTTCTTTCCTTTCTCTCCCTTCCTCCCTCCTTCCATCCCTCCCTCCCTCCTTCCCCCCCCTTCCTTCTTCTTTCTTTCTGTAAGCTCTACATCCACATGGGGCTTGAACTCATGACCCTGAAATCAAGTTGCATGCTCTACTGACCGAGCCAGCCAGGGGCTCCTTCAATGTGTCTTTCAATGCTCATTCCAAATCTCTCTTCTTTTGGGAATGGAGTTTACCCTTACATGCTAACAGCACAGGAGATATTCAATGATTTTTTTTTTTTTTTTAAATGAGTAGAACTCTATTCCTCTAGGCAGAATGAATAACTCTTTCCTCTATATTCCCACAATACTAGGACTGAAGCCAGTCACCATTGCCCTCATTTGCCCCTGGATGGCAGTTCATTCTTTCCTGGTCTCTATCTTTCAGTAGTCTGTGACCTCCTTTAGTTACTAGCCCAGCACCTGTTTCGTGTTGGCTGATGGGAAACATGGCCTCAACTAGAAATCCTCAGAGAAGCTTGGGGTGACTTGTTCATTCCCCCAGATAGCTGCCCCATACTTGGTCAATGACCCATTCTTTAAAGCCAACAGTCTACTAAAAACATGAGAAAGGAAGTTCAAGTGTACTTACAAATCTTGTGAGGTTTGACTCCTATCTGGGGTGACTCTTCGCTGCTGGGCTTGAGGTTGCTGAGAAATGATTAAAGATGATTTATTGTCAGAAGGGGATACCTTGTGATGAAAGTCAAGGGGATGAGAGACAGTGCTGCAGTAATGAACAGATTTTTCGGCAATGTTTATGATCTCATTGCAAACTGCTTCCTGTGAGTGGCCCCAATATCCAGAAACCCCCATAAACAGTCAACATGGGGACAAAAAACAAAAAACAAAAAAAAAGAGAGAGGAAGAGATGTAACATTCCAGACGAAGCACATAAGTCCAGGGAAACAACAGAGTTGAAGATCCAGGTTAAAAAAAAATAGATATTCCAGTAGTGGAGTGCAGGAGGGATCCAGGTGTAAGCATGGAAAAAACAGGTAAGATACAGAAGAATTTGGAATTTAGTATGAATATTAAAAAAAAAAAGGCAGCAGTATAAAAGCCTATAATTAGTGAGCAACTGTCACAAATGGAATAACTTCAGGATAGAAATGCAAGTATGGATTCCCCGATCATGCACTAACCGTTATTTTCATCCCACATGTAGGCAGAGTACAGATATTGTCTCTAAATTCCTCTGCTCTCTGAGAGGGAAGGGGTGGGCCTAACATTTCCCTCTGGGACAAGAGCCATATAACTCTCGCAAATAATGGCTCTGCGAGTTAGCCAGGCATTACTCCAGCTGAGACTCTAGAAGTCAGTAAGGATTCTCTTTAGAAAAGCTACGGTCTTATTCAACAGGCATCTTACCACATAGCTCTTTTCAGATTCTGTGAGATCAGGTCCTGCTCTCAATGAATGATGAGAAGGCTGTGATCACCAAGCAAATTATAAGGGAGACATTTTAGCAGATGTCACATTGGAACGGATTCAAAATAAAAGTGTGAGCAAATACACGTACCACACCATCACACTCGATGACGCAGGAGACTCATGGCCTACGGCCATCGAGTTTCCATGACAACACGGTGGACGCACAGGAGAAAATGCAATGTACAGAATTAGAAGCAAGCATCCAGGCACTGGAATGGGAGGTTAGGGATATGAGCACAGTGAGCTGAGCATGAACACAGGGTCCCCAGACCGGCAGGAGAGAAAGACACAGAAGGGTTGCCTTAGGGAACAGTTATAAGCCTCCACAGACACACACACTGGTCCTTTTGCTCTCAACTGGTGAGCATCTGCGGAGGGGCTGCTGCACCAAAGCCAGTTTCAGTTATCTTGCTGACTGGAAGCCTCCGCTGGCAACAAAGGCTCATAAAACTAACAGGTATGCCACATCTGCGTACTTATGAAAACAAACAGAAATGCTTCTGATAAACTCCTTGGTGGTATCTGAAGTATCCGACAAGACTGTTTCCCCGGAGAAGTCTGCACAGGACACCCTCCAGCCAGGTAGGAGTTCAGATATCTCACAGGGCAGAGCTTGCTTCCAGAAATAGGACGGGGTGTCCTGACACAGCTGCAGAAATGAACCCATCACTCTTCACCCACCGGCTCAGCTACCACCTGCTGACATGGAAACGCAGGTGCAATTATGGCCAGGCAGACCCATTTTTAAAGTGGGTCTCCCACAGGATAGGCTAGGAAGAGTGTCTGGAATCATCTCCCCGAGAAAGGATTCAATTCCAAGCTCTAAGAAATCTCCCTAAATAGGTATTTGAAGAGCCATGCTTCTTGGAAAAACCCTCTAGGTAACGTGTACCAATAGCAACAAGCCCTGGTAACTCGGGGCCTTCTAGTAGGACACTCAGATCTTTTATATACGACCCACTTGATTCACAGAGAGGCCCAGGGCCTCCCCTGAGGTCACACAGCAAGTCAGTGGTAGATCTGTCTTCTGGATTCATCTACTGTCCCACTGGATCTTTCATCCTTAGACCATTTCTCACGTCATTAAGAGTGTTCACGGGTATTATTTTCCACGAGTCCCACAGAAACCCTGGAGATAGGCAGAACAGGGTTTATCATTCTGTTTGATTTTAAAACCCAGGAAGCTGATGCTGGGGGAGGGGGGAGTTTGGGGCATGCCCCAATGCCGTAAAGCTAGCAAGAGGTCAAGCTGCTGGGCTGGCCCTCGTGTGTCACCACACCATCCCCTCATGTTCATCTCCGCTGTAAATGGCCTCATCCTTTAGCATATCTCAGAGGACCAAATGCCACCCCAGACATCACTTCTGTATTCCTGTCCTTTTGGGAAACCTCTTCAAGTTCTGTAAACTTCTTCAAGACGTCAATCCTTTAAACCCTGGACTCTGGCAGGAGTAAAGGAGGAGCCAGACCTGCCAGAGGCCTTTTCAGGGTCCTTCTCTAACATCTCAGGACCTGCTGGTCTTTGCCAGGTGACCTTGTGTGGCCCCAATCACCACCCATCCAGCTTCTGGATCAAGGCTTCTATGTAATCCCTTCCTTGATCTCAGGTCATCGCCAAAGTAACAGTATTTCCAAGCACTTGCTATGTGGGCTTTAACGGGGCAGAAGAAGGAAATGTACTCTGACAGGAGGATTTTGACAGGAGGGAAAACTCTATAAGTTCGAGCTGTCCGGTAGAAGGGCTGCCTGGAGAGGAAGGGAGCAGCTGATCCCAGCCACTGTGCTGTCTGTCACTCGGTGGGATGCTGTGGGGGGATGGCTTCTCAACCCTTTGTGTGTGCTGCTATCAGCTTGGAGCCCTGTTAACAGGCAGAGTCTGAGTGGACACACCTGGGGTGCATCCTGAGACTACATTTAAAAATTTTTATTTTATTTAAATTCAATTAATTAACATGTAGTGTATTATTAGTTTCAGAGGTAGAGGTCAGTGATTCATCAGTTATATCACACCCCTTGTCATTCCAGCACATGCCCTCAAGACTCTACATTTCTGCTGATGATGCCTCTGATGCTGGCCCACAGATCAATCTGGGAGAGTAAGGCTGTAGGGGACCTTAATTATCCTTCACTGAGATTCTTTGGCTAGAATGTGCCAAGACTGATGAATGTGGGTCACACCTCATGAAAATGAAAGTTCTCATAATAACCAAAATATTTCCAAACTGTGTCTGTGGCCTAATGACCTCAGGTCAAATGCAGAACAGAAAGAGGATGTGGACCATCTCTACACATGGTGGCCAAAGCTTACAGAAGCCCTGTAGCATCTTTCAGTGAACTTAATCTCCAAGGAGTGACTAGACTTGATCATCAAGCAAATAATTGTTGATTAAGAGAGGTTTGGTACATCAGATATGTTAAAAAGGACCCGAATATTTTACTAGCCCTTTTTTGCAAAGCACTTAAAAACAAACACACACTCCCAGCTTTCAAAGCACATAGAGATCCATGACCTCATCTGACTTTTACATTAACCCTTTGACTTAGAGAAGATGGAAAGGACTTTTAAGGCTCAAGGAAGCATGAAGTTTGCACAAGGGGACAAAGTCACTGAATACTGAGTGCTCAGTGTCTAAGTGACATACACCACTTTCTTCTTGAGTCCCGCTGGGACAGCTAAGATCACAGCAACACCTAGCTTCTGCCCTTTGTGACAATAGGTCACTTCTCTTCCTGAATACTTTTTCTTTATGTAAAAGGTACAGTGTGTGGTAACAGATACGGTCCAGTCCTCAACTTAAGGATGCACAGTACTGGAAGGGATACTGACCCAGCTAATACCTTCCTTGGTTTCAGGTCATATGCAAATCAGAGGATAATCGCTATCATTGCCTTCACATCTAGACAAAGTTGACATCTAGTACAAGCTTCAGTCATCCCCGAAAGGTAAGGATGATTGGACTCCTTACCCACAGTTTGTGGAAGAAAGGACAAGAGCAAGATAAACATTTATCCTACTACCTAAGGTTCAACTTCTCCCTGTTTGAAATACATTCCTTACATTTAAATCAAACATATCATGTAGTTGGGATAGAAACCAGTTTTTGATTGGGGGTGTGTGTGGCAATGTGGACCCTCAGGAGAGATGGAGACCACTGATATCCGAGGCAGGGATTTGCCCTTCACTTTGAAGGCCATTTACCTCCAGATTTTTTTCCTTGAGGCATTTATTTTTCTTTCCCTGGCCCCATTTTCTATTTTATTTTATTTTATTTTATTTCATTTTAGAGAGTGAGCACAAGCAGGGGGAGCAACAGAGGGAGAGGGAGAAGCAGGCTCCCCACTGAGCAGGGAGCCCAATGCGGGGCTTGATCCCAGGACCCCAGGGTCATGACCTGAGCCGAAGGCAGACACTTAACCAACTGAGCCACCCAGGTGTACCTCCCCCGGCCCCATTTCTAACTGTGTACAGCTTTATATATCTTTTCCTCTGAACCTATGCTAATATGGTAGCCAATAACACTTGGCCAGTATGAAATGTGCTTTAAGTGTAAAAATATAAACTGGGTTTCAAAAACTTAGCACAAAATGTAGAATGTAAACTATATCACTAATAATTAGATTGATTATATACTACCATAGAATTACATTAATAGTTTAAATACTATAGTAGCTATGTTGGACTAAATGAAATACATTGTTAAAATTAATTTCACTTATTCCATTTTACTACCAGGAAAGTTTAAATTACATACATGATTTACATTATATTCCTACCAGATAGTGAGGCTCTGAACCCTCCCTGCCTGTACTGAAGCCTAAAAGTAGACAGAGTTCTAATTACGACCTCAGCCAAGATTAAGAATAAAGAGAGCATTATCCTATGCCAAGCACGTTTCAACCTCTTGGAGATACATTCGAGGTTTTGTTTTTTTTTTTTCCCCCACATGTTTAGAAAAACAGCCATCAGCAGCCCCCCCCCCCCCACACACACAAGCTGCACTCCACCCCCACAACCGACAGCAAGCAGGGTTAGTTGCTGATCTGGAAACTGTTTTGCGTCTGTATTTGCACACACACTCACAAACTGCCCCCCTTGGCCTGGACTGCTGGTTTTATTCTCCCCAAGTGAGCAGTCCTGCAGGAAGCCTTGCTCAGCTGCCTTTCTATCTGCAGTTCACAGAAGACCCCCAGGAATCTGACCCCAGCCTTCCTTGAGC